AAGGAGGGCCTTTTGCTAGCTCTTGCGCAACATGAAGGTATTCCTCTTGTCTTTGCCATGAGGCGCTGCTGTCGCACACACCATCATGCTGAAGTTTTTAAAAGGCCTGGACATGCTAGCAGCTTGCTGGAGAATTCCCGTCGACGGAACGGAGCTAGGACAATGTGGCATTCATCCGTTTGTAGATGGGGTCAGGAAATGGTTCGGTCCGATTTGCGACTAACGACCGCGACGAACAACTCGATCATCAGCTCGGGCCTCATAACTGAAGCAACCACAACAGGCAGATTTGAGTACGGCACACCATGACACATCATGCCTTGCATCATCCTCCTGATGTTTGAGGTGGAGCACTTGCGCACGGAGACGTGGCTGGCGCCTGAGGAGGGAAGCGGAAATCTACGGCGGAACGATATCGAATCCCGGACATGGAATGCAGAACTATCGAAGGAATGGAGAACGATAGACTCGGAATGCAACGGGCAAGGCAGCGATCAGGCCCCTGCGGCAGCGGCACCAGTGAGCACTATCCTCGATTCTGCAATGCTACTGCTGTGCTGTGTTACTCGACACGGGCTTCGAACGAACGCGGCACCATAGTGCCTGCCAACCATCTGGCGATAAAGCCGCCTTAAGGGCTAGGTAGGATTAGGTGCTTACCAAAAACCGGTTCAGCGGTTTACTGACTGGGACATGCTTCTTTCGAAACATGAGAGTAATTACCAAGTCCAGAGTATGGGGGTCTGCCTGTGTGTGTGTGTGAATAGGTAGGTAGCACCCGAAGGCGCAGGTAGAATGAGCAGCAATCACAATGCAATCAGTTTGGAGGCTTCCGGGGCCGTTTTTGGTAGTTCGTGTCCTCTTCGCTCGGTATACCCACTATCGTCGGGGGTTTGTTTGCTTCAATGGTGAGACCATCGCTAGACCCATCTGTTGGTCCTGGCTGCAGCACACGAAGCTCCGGCCCGAAACCGCATCTCCTGAAACATCCTGAATCTGTCGAGCCATGAACGTGGCAGTGGAAGGCTTGAGCATCACTGTCGCAGGTGGCAGGAAGCTGTTGGATGAAGTAAACTGCGTGGTTCAGGCCGGAGATATGGTGGCTTTGATGGGCCCTTCTGGCGCTGGCAAAACCACGCTGCTGAACAGCATCGTGGGGAGAACCATCACAGGACTCACTGAAGGGGGCATCTACTACGATGGGGCCACATTGTCCAAAGTCAGGCAGGCTGGCCTCACTTCGGCAAGTTCTTTTTCCAGATGTCCTTCTGACTGAGGTCCAGGTTTTTCACCTTGTGTTCAGCTCCGTTGATGTGCAAATTGTGCAAACCCTGGAGGAGCAGCGTGGGATACGTCACTCAGGACGACATCATGTACGAGACCCTGACACCGCGGGAGAATTTGACCTTTGCGGCCGCCTTCATCTTGCCAAAGCTCTCCAAAGAAAGCCGCCAGAAGGAGGTGGACGACTAAGTTTGGTTCTGTGTTGATGTGGCTGTTCTCGTGCTTTCTGGTCAGAAGGGTGTCAATGCATTTTGTTTTGCATTTGTAGTTGAGGAAAGTTGAGGCGCCGGAGGTCAATCCGTCCGAGAGAGCTAGCTTTCTGCACAGTTCTCGCTGTTTCTCTCCCTGTCGTTGCGATGGTGAGGTGGAGAGCGTGATCGAGAAG